TATTCACTGAAGAGAATGGGGTACTGAGATCCCCAACTATGATTGTATTGGGGTCTGCCTTTACCTTTAGGTCGAACAGTGGTTTTTTGTTTATAAACAATTGGATGCTCCATTATTAGGTGCCTATGGTTTATAGCCATTATATCTTCCTGATGAATAGCCTTGATCCTTACATAGTGCCACTTCTGTCTCCCTGACTGTTTGTCTTACGGCTACTTTGTCAGGTGCAGGTACAGCAGAGTACTCCTTCTTGTTCTCAGAGTGTGTTTTCCTGGAATATCATTTATATTCTTCTCTTTTAGTCTCTGTGTCTTCACTGGTAAGTTTTTGCAGGCAGCATATTATTGGGTCTTGTTTTTTGGTCCATTCAGCCGGTCTGTGTCTTTTAACTGGAGAATTAGGACTCCATACACTCAGAGTTGTTCTTAATGAAAGGTCTGGTTTTGACCTGTGATTCTTGTTTGTTTCTTCTAGTGTCTTGGACATCTTTGTTCACGTCCTCTTCACTTCTCTGTCTTTGTGAATTGGTGTTTTGCTGTACTGATAATGTTTTATTATTTTTTTTCATTTTTGCACCTACTCTTCTAGTGGATTTCTATTTTTACATGCTATCACAATGAGAGTTATCTCTCGTTCATCTCCTAATGTAAGCCTTACTTAAGCATCTTTTGTAAAGTTGGCTTGATAGTCATGAATTCTCTTAGCGTTTGTTTATCTGGAGGGCATTTGTTTCTTTTTTGTTCCTGAGGGACAGATGCGATGGGTGTGATCATCCTGATCAGCAGTCACTTTCTTTCAGGACTTAAAACGTATCATTTCATGTTCTTCTTCCTATTTGGTTTCTGTTGAGAAACCCGGTGTCAGTCCATGGGGCTGCCCTTAAATATGACTTGGTGCTTTTCTCTTAGAGATTTTAATTTTTTCATTTGTCCTGCACTTTAACAGCTTGATTAAAGTCTTTTCTGCTTGTGTCTAATTGGGGTTGAATGGGCCTCCTATACCTGGGTGGCCATGTCTTCCCCAAGATCAGGGAAGTATTTTGCTGTTATTTCATTGAATAGGTTTTCTGTGCCATTGACCTTTATTTTTCTCCTTTGGAGATGCTGATTATGTGGACTTTTGATTTTTTAAATGATGTCCCAATGATCTTGTATGCTTTCTTCATTCTTTTTTTTTTCTTTAATTTCTGTCTGCATGTGAAATTTCAAAGGACCTGTCTGTAAGCGCTGGGATTAATTTTTCTACTTGACCTAGTCCTTACTGAGAATTTCAACTGAATTTTTATCTGATTTATAGAGTTTGAAAATGAAGACATTTTCAAGATTTCTGATTAGTTATTTTCAAAATTTCTACATCTTTATTGAGCTTTTTACTCATGTACTGCATTGTTTTCCAAATTTCATTTAACTGTTTATCTCTTGGATCTCATTGAGTTTTTGAAAAAAAAATAACTTTTGAATTTTCTTAAAGAATTAATTAATTTTATCTATTCTATTTAGGTCTCTATGACAGCGGACTGCACTTTGACTCATTGTACAGCACAAATTTTGCAGCACCACTTTTCATTTCTCTGGTTGTACACCATGTAGCTTTGTACCATATGTGCAGTCACACATGTGATGATATGTGGAGTAATATTGTCCATCTCATTCCACCTCTTTTGAATTCTTTATCAGGTATTTAGTCACTTCTATATCTTTGAAATCTGTTACTAGAGAGCTCTGAACTTTAGAAGGTGTTGTGTTACCTTATTTTTCATATTTTTTGTATTACTATATTAAGATTTGCACATCTTGTTAAATGCATGTCTTACCACTTTTTTCTTTCTTTTTGTTTTCTTTCTTTCTTTCTTTCTTTTTTTTTTGGTACTGGGGCACTCAAGCACTGAGCCCCACCCCCAGCCATTTTGTGTATTTTATTTAGAGGCAGGTCTCACTGAGTTGCTTAGGGCCTCAGTAAGTTACTGAGGCTGGCTTTGAACTCATGATCCTCCTGCCTCAGCCTCCCAAGCTCCTAGGATTACAGGTATGCACAACCAGGCCTGGCCTTTACCACTTTTATGTGGTGGCCTTCTCAGTGACTTTGCTCTAAAGATGTGTCCTGAGGCAGCTGTTACATAATGTTATTTCCCGCTGAGTACCATAGTATAGTGTAAGCTCCCTGTGGGTTCTTTGGCTGTGATTAGTAATGTAGGCACAGCCTGTCACATATCAGAGTTGGAGAGACCTGGTGTCTCCATGGATAGCATTTCAGGTGGGTGGGCTACAGATCACAGAAGGGGTTGCACCCTGTGTGGTCACTCACACAGGGGAGTGATGGCCCCTACTTGGTGAAGGGGGTTTCCTTAGTCAGTGTTAATATTTCTATGATACTTCAGTGAATCTCTGGTCCTGGGTGCTCCAGTCATGGGGAGGGGCCCAGTGTTTGTCCTCTGATTAGACGTGGGGGTAGGTCCAGGTACTTACTGGAGACCCAAGGGCAGGAATCACAGCACCTCGGTGTGGCACTGAGACACGGTCATATCACAGTGTGTGATCAGGCCAGGTGAAGGGAAGACCAGAGCAGGAAAGGTGGTCATTCCTGTCTGCTCTTCCTGTGGGTGAACTTACCAAGATGTGAGACCTGGAGACCCCCCCACCCAAGCCAGGCACACCTCAGGGCAATGACCAGTGGTCTTTTCTCCTCCAGATACCTTTAGCGATAGTGCCTGCCAGGGATCAAGTACTCTGGGTTGCCCTGGAGCAGAGCAAAATTTCTCTTGCTGAGATACTTTCAGGTCAGAGAGAGTGTGGCATCTGCCCAACAGAACGCAGGAGTTTCTGACACTTAAATTATGATCCCTTCTCAAGAGGGATCTCAGAAAGAGAACCCAAGGGGTGGGGTCCCTAGGAGATGAAGTGAATTCCTTTCCAGAGCCACACTGCTCCACAGATTTCAGTACTCTTATCTGTTTAAACTGTAAGCCTGCAAGGTCCACGAGACTTCCCAAAAGCTGGGGTGGTCAGAGTTTGCTGCAACTCTCTTTCTCCTTTACCTCTGCAGAGAGGAGACGCCTCGCCACCACGGAACCTGGGTGATCAGTGTGGGGTGTTTGGGCTTTCTGGCTGGGCTTTCCCAGGTCTCTGGGTTTTACTGGATGACTCTTTCTGTACTGTTGAATTTCGGTATGCTCCCATGGACACTTACCTCAATACACAGCGACCTGTTGCTTTGGTTCTTCTTGGTGGAGGAAAAGGTAAGTATTGGGTACCTCCATTCAGCTGCCTCACTTTCAGAACATTTTTAATCTGTATACTTTTCCTCCTAAAAATGTGAATCCTAGTCACATTTGGGCTTATGATTCTGAATACTATTCAAATAAGAGCTGCATGTCTTCATGTCAGTTCCTATTCTAACGCCTGAGTTTTCTCATGATCTCACCGTCCTCACCAGTTACCTGTGGCACAGGGAGCTGGGGAGGAGCTCACACAACTCCCAGGAACGACGCATGGGAGAGTTGATATGAAGAGGAGTATCTTGGAGGTGGGAGTCAGAAGAGATGAGAGGTATCTAGTCTACTAATTTAATTTAGAGGTGGGGAAATTGAGGTCCAGTGGTTTTCTCAGTCTAGACGGCTGGTGGTTCCACAGCCCAGAATCAGAATGTAGTCCTCTGTCCACCAGGCTCTGTCAAACATGAGAT